CCGGCGATTCTATTCAGTTTAAATCTCCCTCATTTCTCGAGACGCCATGATTGTTTACACCAACAACTCGGAAACTAAAGAAGAGTTAGTCTTACGGGGAATAACTCTAAATAATCTCGATTTTTTCCCTCGAAAACTTTCAATAATATTTAAATCAAAATAAGATCGATTTTCTTATTATTTTTATTTATATAAAAAAGTCTTTAAACATTACACAATTTAAATTCATCCTGCAATTATTTTAACAAGTGCGCGAAATTCACGCTTTTTTGTAAACGTTGATTGTGACGTTTTTTTCATTATTACGTTTTGCCGCATTTGGGCCAAAAATCTCATGGCGAGTCACATATCGATATTATTGAACGAGTACATTTTAATTATTTAAAACATATATGAATTTGAAAAGTAGCACTCCCAAGTTATATGATTTATGGAGAAACTGGAAGGTTTCCATTACACATAAATATTTACTCAAGAATGATAAAATATTGGGCAAAACTTGTGAATGAAAAAGAAAACAAATTGTCTAGAATAGTATATATGTATTTACATAAACAACATGATAAAGAGGAAATGAAAAACTCATGGATATCATTTGTACAAAAGATTTTTTATAGATTCTATGTGGTTTATCAAATTATCCAATTGTTGTGTATGTGACCCCCCCTTTTTAATTTTTATGTAATGTAGTTAGGGTATATGACATTCATTGTTTAATCCACAATATAGTGTTTATTCATGCTGAGTCAATGACTGTAATATTTTACTGTAATTGTGTGAGCTTGGAGCGGGTTGATTATTTAATCCACAATATAGTGTTTATTCATGCTGAGTCAATGACTGTAATACTTTACTGTAATTGTGTGAGCTTGGAGCGGGTTGATTTTTCTATCAAATAGAGTCAATGTCTGTAATATGCTATCATGCTTTATAGTGATTTGGAGCGGGTTGATGAAGTTTGTTTATTCAAGAAGTTTTATTTTGTTTTACTATGAATGTGCTGTTCGCAAAGTTGTACCTAAGTTATGTAATTGTATTTATAAATACTTGAAATCAAGAGTAAATTGTAGTATCATAGTATGTTGGCAATGTAAACATGACAGAGATAATTCGAACTGAATTAGAGTTTGACAGGAGATTTGTAAAGTGGGTCATTTGTAGATTATAACTTACGTATATATAGCAACTTATTACTGTGCGTAAAAGTATGTGATTGTTGTTTGTTTAGTGTTACTTAATTGATTTGGTACCTGTAAACAGTCTAAACTTCTTTTGGCACATGTTTGACAGTTTTGGAACTCTTCTATACGATGTACTTCCGGTTTAGAAACGTGTTAATCTATTCGATAAATTGTTCTCCTATTGATTGTATAGTCGATAAATTTATTGAGTATAAATGGTTACGAATGAATGTATTTTGAGATGAATTATGTCACGTGGTCAAGCTGGCTTTCTCCAAGAATCACACAAGTTCAATAAGTTTAATAAATTTATTTACAAAAAAAAATAATAATAATAGCAAAAACCTCACACCATCTACCGCACTCTGATCCACACCCCTTACTCACTATTAAACAGTTAACAAAAAAAAACAATTATCTTGGTAACCAATTAACAATCAACGACACATCTACCCCGGGTATATATCTCAGTTATCAATCAATGTTTCAATTATTGAATTAATGCCAAACGTTTCCCAATGTAGTGATCGTCTCCGTATCATCGATCATCATCCTCATCGTCATCATCACCATCATCATCATGATCATCATATACATAAAACCATGCATGTCAGGTTTGCCACTAGCAGGTTGGGCACACACCCCCATTTGGTTGATCCACTCCCGTTTGGTGGTCAATCAACCAAATCGTATACATTGTTAACTGACCAAATGGGAGTTACTTTTCGTGTTTTTCGATTTACACCTGCTTTTTAACTCGGCGCACTAAGATGACAGGAGTGGTAAGTAATTTAGGTTCCCTCGTGTCTTTAAACATAAAAATATGGAACATTGCATGTGGAAATTTGTGCGCCTGGGTGTGCAAATTTCAGGTATGCTAAGTAAAATCCTGATTATGGCCATTATTTTTGCATAATATTACCTTACAATTAATCCAAATGCTTCAAAATTCACATGAGGAGCCCCTTCTCCAAACATTCTACTTTCGATTCCAATTATCCGGGTTACTTCAAAACAATTGTAGCCAATGAAATCTCTTGATCTATATAAACTTCGGTCGAAAGCTCAAACTTTAATACGGAGCGTCGTTTGTGTAAATTTTCAATAAATGCATTCTCTATTCATTTTTTTCATATTGTGTAGAAAAAAACTACAAGAGGTGGCAAAGTAACCATTTTAAGACAAATTAAAAAGAAGAAGGACCCCACCAAAGTCTTAACAGACCAGAAAAAGATGATACGCTCCTTCAACAAACGAAAGGATACACTTCTTGAAAAGGTGTGTATTCATTCAAAAGCATGTTCAAGACATCTTATATTACATAATTACACGATCAGAAACACTTGTTTTAATTCCAGCTTTGTTACTAACCGCCTAATTAAAAAAACGCACCGAAATTTTGATTAATAACTCTTTAATAATCATGGTAATGGAATCATAAAAATCATTGAAAATGTAAAAAAAAAACAAACAAACAAACAAACAAAAAACAAAAAAAAGCATATATTTATGAACATGCATTCAAAGTTTTTAAAGAGTTATATCAAATTTTTAAAAAAAATATCATTAAAGTAACAAATATGTACATTCTTAAAGATGTCATAGTTTTAAAAGATTTTTAACATGGCACAGGTTCAAGATATATATACAGCAACTTCAGCACAGGTTTCACTCACAGTGAGGGCACCTGCTTCAGGAATTGTGTATGAATATTCCAGTCCAAATTTCAAAAAGGTACAAATGTGAAAAACCCTGTCATCTATCCGTTTAATTTAAGTAAATCTTAAATTTATATACATGTACAATAAAAAATACAAATTAATAATAATATAACATAATTATGTACACAAGGTCCCGACTATTGAAACTTCAATGTCCTGTGCGTCACCCTCTGCTTCTTCATCTGCCCCTGCATCACCTACTTTGCCATCTTCTCCCTCTACTTCTTCTGCACATCCTACATCGGCTTCATCGCCCACTTTCAAAGAGGTCAGCACCCAAACGACAGAATCAACCCTCGGAGGAGATTCGGCTGACGAGTCTTGCTGTCGGATCTGTGGAGAATCTCTATCGGAGAGCAAGCTGTGGGTGGGTTGTGAAGTAAAGGATTGCTCTTTCTGGAGGCATGCCTGGTGCATGGGGGTTACTGCGTTCCGAAAAAATGCTCTGAAAAATTAAAAAAATTTTTGTCCTAAACATTTAGGTGTAAAGAAATAAATGCTCGGTAGTTAATTTTTTTTTTCAAGCGAGTAATTTGCAAAAATTATGAATATTCATACCTTTATTCTACATCTGACTCGCTCTGGCTTTCAGCTTCCTTAATTTCATTGAGTTCTTTAAGAAATTCAAGTTTTTCACTTTTTTCCATTTCTGGCTAAGTGTATGTGAATTCAATGTGTCTAACTGTGTCTCTATGTGTGTAGATATTTCAGCTTTTGTTTTGTTTGCGATGTTGGTGTGTTTTTCTCTGTGTTCTTGAAAAATAAAGATAGGTGTGTGTTTAAGTCTAGATGAGAGAGGATGTGTTTGTATGTGTGTGTAATGCGAGTCTTTGTTATCTTGTGCATGTTCTGAGAAATGTAAAAATGCACTGTCTAAAGGCTTATTTGAAAGTGTTGTGAGCGATTGTTTTTGTAAATATTTACTTTCCCTAATGATTTGTCTGAATGCTGTGATTTCTTCTGTAATGTCGTATGCGTATGTATATTCTGTGTCTTTTTCTGTCAGCCCCATAATTGTCTGCATGTTCAGTCTGATCTGAAAAATATGAATAAAATGATACAATATAAAGTATATATAAAACTATTTCTAAATAATTTCATTTCATCTTAGATGCAATGGATTTGGGCATGTTGAATGGGGGGGGGGGGCACTTTTTTCCAAACTTAACCTTTTATTACAGAAAAATGTACAATGGAAAAAAAGATTTCGGAGTTAGGACACCCCCCCCCCTTTTAATTTTTTTCTCTCCAGCTGCCCCCTTCTAAAACGATGCTACGTCATTGGGATTTATATGCATGATGTGTATATAAATAATTTTTACCTCGTCTAATTTGTCGATGTTTCTGCTTATGGTTAGCCATTTCTCGTCGGTTGGCAGGCCAGGGGGCATGAAGCCTTTACTTTTTCTGTTAAGGTTCTCAAGAACAAAGTCCCCTCCTTCGCCTTTGCTCTCATGACCAGTTACAGTGTATGCCTCATTTTTTCTGATAAATTCGTTGACTGTAGGAGGGCACTGTATCCGAATTAAAGAGTCTCTGATGAATGCTTCCATATCAAATGGCATATTTAGTCCGAAAAATAAAGGTGAAAATTTGGACCTGCAACAGAGAATGACGTCGGTGTTGTTACGTCGTACCCCTGCTCTAAACACATGAAGCGCCAGACTGTGGTCAAAAACAATCTTCGCCATCAAAGCTTCATTAGGGGTCTTGTTGCTAGCTAAAAACTCTTCAACGGAAGGCGTTTCTTTTTTTTCCAATGCCTGGCGAACATAGGGCACAAGGAGCTCGCCAGACATAGCAAAAAGGAATATTTCCAGAATTTGCCAGCTTTTATGGTGATCTGCAATATAAAATATAACTATGATTTGCGAAGAACACATAGGCGTCGGAACCGGGGGTGGGGGGGGGGGCTTAGCCTCCCCGTACCTTTTTTTGAAAATATATACATAATATAGGCATGAAAATAAGGGTTTACTTTTTTGTTGGTTTAGCCCCCCCCCCCTCCCCCCACTTTCAATTTGCTTCCGACGCTTATGGAGCTTATTCATTTATGCATTTTTTTCACACAAAAAATGATACAATTTTAAATTTGTTTTTAATTTATAAATTCTATACCGTGGGCAGCCTGGCATGCTGCAAGGGCCTTCGGACTCTTGAAGCCCAGCATTTTTGCGAGCTCCATTAATAAGCACACATCCCAAAGGAGTTTGAAAAGCGCCTTGGTCATATTGATTTCAAAGTGGCCATGTCCTAAGAAAAAATTAGAATTTGCACAAATTTTGATTTTATTAAAAATCGTTGATATATTATTGCACATTATAATTGAAATTAGAGTAACACCTGCTAGCATTAAAATATTCCTATATTTCCTTCCTTCCTCTAAATCATTCGCATGTTTTGAAGTCTCAATATGGTTAATGAACTCGTCTTCGTCATATTGGATACGACACGTTGGGCAAATATACAACTCCTCGATGATCCTCGAGGCGAGAACGTAGGGGAGGCCGTCACATCCTACTGCCGTCCAATGTCGTGTCGTACCAACCTCTGCCTCCTCCAGGAGATGGTCAAGCACCTGTTCCCAGATAGAACATTTTATGTATTAAATTTTTTTAATGTATTTATTATTTTTTTGTATTTATATAAATTAAGGAATACTATACAACCTTCTCTACAGCCTCATACGAACAAGGGTTCTCAAAAATAGGTTCTCCAGCAATAACCTTGCTTGGCCCTGCTTCATGGCAGCTAGGAATGAACGTGTATCTAAAAATAATGAAATTAATCTTTAGATTTATATAATTTGTGTCCATCTTAGTCTGTATTACATTTTGTAGGTTGGAGGTGAATGGGTGGGGTGGTGGTAAATGGAAATCATGCACAGATCTATAGAAGGGGCGGCGATGTCAGGACCACCCTGGACCTGACCCCCCAGGAATTTGCATGGTTATTAAATTTATACACTACAGGAAGAAAAATTACCATGGACCCCCCTCGGAAAAACGCAGACCCCCTGGCAAACGCAAATTTGTGTTAAATTTATATGAAAGGTCAAATGTTTGAAGCATTATAGAAGCCCCCCCCCCCCCTACGAAATAGGTTTTTGAATTTGGGCGAGTTAAGTTTTATTTTCTTTTTGCTTGTCAAGAAATTTCTGGGTTAGATATTTTTTTTGACTGGAAAAAATTCTGGATCCGCACCTGGAAAGTGAACTGAATAATAATAAAAAAACATTTATTAAAAATGAAATTTGTTTTACAATCGATTGTGTTTCAAATATATATATCCTCGTTAACCTCTCGTTTGGGGGATCTATTTCCCGTGGATGGTCTTTTTTCTTGTCGACATGATCCTTCCATCCATCTTCTTTGGATTGTTGTTTGATTATCTCATTGATTCTCTTAGAAATAAATCCATGTCTGAAATAAAAGTTTGTAATTATAAACGAGTAAATTTTGAAAATATCACTCTCTCTCTCTCTCTCTCTCTCTCTCTCTCTCTCTCTCTCTCTCTCTCTCTCTCTCTCTTCAGTGTTTACCTTGATTTACTGAAATCTTTTTCAAATAATATTTCTTGCGCTTTCAACTTTTCCAGAGAGTCCTTCTTTGCCTGCACATGGAAACTCTGCCACTTTGAAGGCGCAAGCTCCATGTTTCTCTGAATATCACTTCTGGGCTGCATATGAGCCACAGATGTGATAACGGATGACTCCGCCTTGAAATCGTTCTTGACCCGCCATTTTCTACCAATCACCTTTTTAAAGATAAATTTAAAAAGTCACAATAAAAATAATGACACGTGTAAAAAAAATAATTTGAAAAATAAAATTGAAGTAAAAGAAAATTTTAAAAACCTGGTTGTTATCAAAAAAAGATATAACATCCGAATTATCGGGGATCTTTATTTTCTCTTGGCTGTTGGCTTTTAGCCAGTTTAGTATAGATGTATAGCTTCCGCTTGGTGTTGCAGCACTAGCAACATTGACGCCTTCTTTGCTACCTAATAACATAAACAAATCGATATAAGTAAATAAATAAATATAAATTATAAATAGAGATGGAAATAAAAAAATTCTTTTTTATTTAATAAAATCACAACAAAATGTTTTAAAATTTATGAAGAAAATATTTAATTGCGTGATTGTAAAATTATTAATAATAATAATAAAAAAAAACACCTGTCTTAGTGTATATAAGAAGGGATTTAGCAAATGCAAGTGGAGCAACAAATTTTGTGTTTACAAGGTAGTAAACGCTGTCCACTGCATTGCTAATAACCACTGCTTTTTCCTTCTGATAGAAATCCCCCTCATGCATCAACCCCTTTAAAAAGGCAAGAAGAGGACCATTCCTCTCAGACATGTAGCCTATGAAAAGAAAACGAAGAGGTTCCAAAAAATAATTTATTAAATTTATTTTTGAAAAGTGTAATATTATTTATGAATTTAATTTAAAAAAAAAAACTATTAGAAATGCATAAAAATCTTACGAGCTGGATCAAAATGTTTTAACATGTCATCATTTTTATAAATTGAACCGGCAACTAAACTGTCATCAAAAACTTTTAAAGATTCTCTTCTTCCTGTAAAAAAGAAAAAAAAAGGTGCGACTTCATGCAATTCATTTGTTAATATGCGTTCGCTGTAATTATTTGAATGAAACAGGTACGATGTACCGCCGACCCAAACGTAATCATTTTTTTTTTACATGATTAAAAAAATTAATAAAAGAACCAATTGCACACATAATCATCTCCAAGTCATCTTCTTCAATGTCACCATTCTCAATTTTTTGCACCATCTCCGCAACAATGGTGTCTTTTTTTCTTTTAGGGACAATTCTTGCCTGTGAGAAGATTGCATGATCGTAGTCTTTTTTTTAAACAAAACAAATCGTTAAAGGAAAAAAGGAAAGGAGAGGGTATATTTTTAATTTCTGAATGTTTATTCATATAATTTGTTTTTTAATTCATATAAATTCATTTTCATGTAACATTTTACTATATATGCATGGATGAAAATCATTTGAAAATATTAATACCCCCCCCCCCCCCCCCCCCACTTTATCCCTTTTCATTCCTGCGTGACTGATATAATATGGAAAATTTATTTATAATTTACCTCAGCATGCTTTATACATCTTTCACAGATGTAGGTTCCTTTGGGATTAAGTTCCCCCTCTTCCTTTAACTTTTCAATAATCTCACTTCTCACTTTTTTTCCCTGAACTCTGAAAAGGGTCCTTTGTTCAGAGTCCTTGCAAATTGTTGCATGGGTTTTAATGCTACATTTCTTGGGAAATGGCATATCTAAACAAATCATACAACAATAGAGAATATTTGTGAAAATTCTCTGATTAAAATCTATAAATACATTATACTTTAATGGCCAAGATAAAAAAATCTATGTATTTTGTACTCTAATGATGTTCCGTACAAACGTTTAGCTGCTGTAATTAATTATAACGGGACTTTTCATTGGTTCTGGATGATCATGATCAATAAGAAGCTTTGATTTGTAAAGTATGAAAGTTGTAGAAAGAGCCCACAGGAAATTTTTTCAACATTTAAGAGGTATATTTAAATTATATAGCATTAAGTTGTCAAAATAACAGTACTACTTACTTCTACGTACTATTCTCAGCCTCCGCTATCGAAATTGCCGCATGAAATGTTGGGCGAATCGCCTTATATAGTCTAAGGGTGAGTTCGAGATCATCTCCTGATGCTCGTGCAAATGCGCCTTTCTCTTAATTTAATGCAATATTGGCGCGAAGAAAAAAGACCACCATTTGGTCAGTTATGTATGTATACCATTTAGGCTATAGACCACTAAACGGGAGTGGATCAACCAAATGGGGGGGGTGTGCCCAACCTGACTAGTGTTCATCTAACGAACTATCACGTTACGTGGTTTGACTTATCTGTGTCTGTCCACCATCACCGAGTCTTGATCACACACACAGCCTCCTTCCGGGCTTTAGTCCAGGAACCTTTCGCTGTGTCACCACGATCAGACGATCCCCTCAGCTTAGTGCATGTACCCAATATCCAGTACCAATATCTTCGACGCTACAATGATGCATATTAATAAGTCACATGTTTCACTACATATGTTTGGCAATACCACTATGTTTGGCAATTCATTCTCAATATAAAAATAATCAAAAAGTATTAAGTATAATGGTTACCAGTTAACATAAGTCAAAAACAAATTATTGCCAATATGGCGCACCTTACTTTCAACTTCCGGTCATTGACTTCCGCCCAGACATTTAAACCAAAATTTAAATGGACAAAATATTCTACACAAAGTAACAAAACTGAGTACAAGAAAATAGCGAACATTTAACAATGAGAACTTTAAACGTTATCGATATAATACAACAGCCACTCGAACACTCTCGCTAACCGTCACACCTGAGTGAACAACAGGTAAAATGGTGAGAGCTGGCCAAGTTCAGAAATAAGAACGAAGTTGTACTCAATAATAAATTTGCATAAAAAAAACTATATACAAAGCAAATAATATCATAAGTAATACTTATCACGGACCTGTCTCCGTGCCAGTGTCAAAATATTGCATGCACTGCTGCTATGTACATATACTAGCTGCTTCGAATCAGAAACGTGTCTGCAGCTACGCTTCTCTGCCGGGAATGACCAGGCCTCAATTGTTCTGGTCGGCTAAGCTATTTTGCAAGGACTTATGGGTATAATAAGCATAGGGACAAAACGCGGGAAATACAAATTATATTACAAGTGCAATAGTGATTGTTACAAACTAAATATTGTTTTGAGTTTAATATGTTTTGTTTAAATTATTTGTTGTGAAACATATTTTGTTTTAATTGATAATATGTGAGAAATTATTATTTTGCATTTGTATAGAATGTTTGGTAACACTTGTTCACGTGAAAGGTCGTGATGCTTTACTTTTGACCAATCAGATTGCTCGATATAATTGATCATTAGTTATTAATCCAATGAAATTTCATAATTAATAATTCCGTCTTTTTCTAGCATTTTCCGTCTTTTCCCGTCATTTTCTGTCCTTGAGTCATATAAAAGTTAGACGCTGAGAAATTCTAGTCACTCTTCTGCTTATTTTGATTTGGTAGGTCCGTTTTACGGAGCTTGTAGATTTTTGTTAGGATTTTATTTTAACTTTTAATTTTGTCTATCTTTTATTTAAATTAGGAATTTATTTAATTTTTCATTTATTTAGTTAGGATAGGATTTAACCGTGAAGGACATTAAATAGTAAAATACTATTGTCCGTGATCGGTAGTTTAAGAACTCAACAGTCTATGACTGAGTAGTTCTCTTCAGTAATTAATTTATCTAGGGTTATTTTATTTTACAATTTTACTCTACATTTATTTAAATTTTATTTTACGGCAAACTACGTAACAAAAGTTATACGTTTGCTATCTTTCTCTTTTATGATGACTAAAGTTGATTAATTCAACGAATGTCAATTTTTATTTTGTTTAGATTCAGTAATTTTATTTTTCTAGATACGTAAATTTTTCTTTCGAATTTTTCATAGAATTTTTCATTAGAGAATTTCGGAATTTAATTTCACTTTACTTTTAACTTAATAAAGATTACCGGACTTATCGTATTTGGCCCGTAGTATTTACAAGCTGAATCCGTTTAATACAGTAAAGCTTGCGTAGGTTTAACAAGTCAGTGTTATAAATGACCACGACTTGTGTCCCGTTTTAATCAAGTGTTTAGGAGTTTAACAAGCTACCTGTTTAATACAGTAAAGCTTGTGTTAAGTTTTACAAGTCAAAGTTATAATTAACTACGGCTTGTTTTCATTATTATTTCTCATTCTCTCCCTCTCTGTTATGAGGTAGATCTACATACTGTAGAAGTGAAAAACATTACGGAAATTTTAATTTCACTATGTTCACGATTTAAGAATTTTCCGCGAACTTTAAACCATCGTTTTTATTACTTCACTTCATATCTTCCTAAAAACAGGCATAGCACCTGAATATTTATGAATGATTCTCTGCGAAATTGAAACTACCGTGAAAGGTAACTTTCTAACAAACCGTGAAATTTTAGACACTTGAAATTTAAGACTTCTACAGTATAAACTTTATAGCAGAGCATATAGACTGGAGACAAAGTCGATCCTTTTCTTTGAAGTCGATATATCCTTGGATTGACTTTATCAAATGACCACATTTTTAATATTAATTTAAGAAACAATGAAAATAGACAATTAAAATAAAGATTGTTTGAAGACTTTCACTTTTATAAACACATCTTTGGAATTTTATAATTTATCATTTGTTTAAATAAAGGCGTTATCTTGCTTTTGCATTTGATATCATCAATTTTTTGATAACAAAAAAACGTTGAGTGTTCTACTTGACTTTATTCGTTATATAATAAATCATATATCAAAACATTTGCGCCACCAGACACACTTATCAGCTATAAAAATCTAGATGGGGAAGTTGAATAACTGAAGTATATTTAGTTTTTTCTTCCTCTTTACTGATATTTCCTAACATAGGTCTAAATAAATGACTGAATACTGACTTCAATATGTACATGTATGTATCGTAGTTGACACCTTACAATTTTTAACATATGAGCCAATCTATTCATTGTCTGAATATTTAGCAAACTGGAATATGGTTTTCTGAAATAGATATAAACATGAAATACATGTACATATATACTGTATTAATTGCGTGATTCTTAAACTTTTATATTTAATATGTGTAATGCTGCATTTTCCGGAAAATATAGCATATCTGATAGCATGTCTGAAGTAGACCTACCTGAAAGTAAATTTATGATAGGTCCTGGGAATCATTTTTCTTTTATACCCACTCAAACAACTTTTAACGCCTACAAAACGGCGACACCATATAAGTAGCTTTCAAGTTTAATTCTAGACTTATGCAAATACGAGTGGAACATCATAAATTTTGCTGTGAGGCAGATACTTCACTTAAAAAAAAATCATTTTATAGATTTCTATTGAGAGGACACTCATTGATTTGCTTAATATTTACTTATGTTAATATACTAATAAGACGACCTACATGTGTCATCGTTTATAGGATCTTCGTGTTACTTCTCCTGATCAAGACTTTCACATTTACTTTCTAGATGCCAGTTCGTACGGTCCATATTCTTTTCCCCGTAAAGCACTGTTAGATTCATCTACTGGCATAAGGTCAAACCTCCTTTGTGAAGAGTGACGCAGAAGGGAGTTATCACAATCGTTTCTCCACGGGTCTTCATACTGTCCTTGAGTTGAGATTATATGCATTCGTACACTTTCTTTATCCAAATAAATATTATTGTCGTTCGTTCCTTGTACTCCAGCCACATTTCCCTCCCCCTCATACGTATAGCCATAGGGATTCAAATCTTCAGAAGATCCGTTTTGATTACATGGGTGTATAGGATCAGTGTTAATGTACTATAACAAGGGTCCTCACAGGATCCATAAAGTGGATCTCCAGACGTATCTTCTCTGCTTAAAGTGTTGTTTTCTCTGTTTCCTTCTTGGTTTTATATATAACACATTATGAAAACCATCTTAAAAAATAAAAAGAAATAAAATATCATTTGGAAATATCAAGTAACAAGTTTCTTATTATAATTTTCATCTTTTTCTTTCTACAGTGTAATAAATTCAATTAAATCAGTCCGAATGAGACCTCTAGTTAATAAGCATTTTATTTAAAGGAATTTTGGTTCTGAAATTAATATTCATTTTAAAATACAAGTTTTGTTATGTTCTTTCATCTCCATTGAAAACAATAATGATTGTATATCTGTTCATAAAAACAATTTTCAATTCCATATGTAGTACACTTTACGATTCAGTAGGTTTTTAATAACCAACTTGCTTTTATTTCTTTCAACATATTAAACATGTAATTTTTTGTGATTAGTGGACGGTACAATGGACTTTCTATGGTGAGCTTCTAACATTGTATTCTCTTCAGCACTCAACTGATCTAATTTGAATTTATCTATATATTTCTTTTCTTTTTGAAGATGTTGATCACTCCTAAACTTGTCTCAAAGTATGAAAATAATAATTTGAATTTTTTTCATTAAAATCACGTACGTTACTACTCTTATTTGAGAAATGATTACATTCTGATATTTATAATTCTACATAGGAAACAAAATGAAATTGATTTTTTAACTTGAATATTTTGAAGTCTTCCTCTTAGTAATTTTAATCCACATGAGACAAGTTTGCACGATTATGAAGATTTTATAAGTGAAAAAAAAATCAATGACATGGACATGTAAAGTACGTCTGAGAAGTAATAAGCTACACTGTTATTGGTTTACATTTTCT